GGTTTCATAACATTCCTATTTTTGTTTCTACTGTAAGGAGGTATAACAAATGCTATTTCAGGGATTCAACACAGGTGAGATTTTAGAAAAATATTCAACAAGAATACACACAAATCACACACGGCCAAAACAAAATAATAAAAGTCTTTAGTGGAAAACAATTTTATCCTCCTCCTGCTTATGGATCTTAAAAATACAGAAAGTGTTCATTTCAAAATTGAAAATTCAGTTGTGATAAGGCTTGATTACACAGCCATTTCCCAAATCTTATTGCAACAAATCGTGAAATATTTCTATGCAACTTCATATCTTCAACTGTACAGGTAAAACAATACTTGAAATCAACTAGCACTTCAATCCCTGCGTTTTTAATATATAAACTCAACATAGTACTGAATTATACATTTAAAATATTTACACACTTGACCAACAGCAGTACTAGCATTTATTGCCTTAAAACTGCGTGTTCACTGCACGGAGGTTCCTTATTTTGCACAAAGGGAACAAATAAAAGAGGATAATCTTTTTTTCCTAATTATAAACTCTAGAATGGTTCAATGGGAGATTGAAATGTGCCGGGGAATGCTATTAGAAAGGATTTTATCAATTTCAAGTATCAAGCTGTAATAGATTGGAAAATCACATGGGTAGTATCTTTCCCTTGAGGTTGGAAGGGTCTTCCAAATCTTTTATAAGAATGGCTTAGAAGGACAGGAAAAGCAGGATAGGGAAAGGGAAGAAATGGAAAAGCAGAATCTACTTTAATTCACTGAGGAGAAGGGAAAGCCAGGGATATCTTATTTCTCAGTTGCTAGGGCCCCAAGAAATCTTGTATTGAAAAAAGGGTTTTGTAAGACAGCCGAGAGCTTAAGGCTCTAGAGCAAACCACACTTCATAATTTGCTTCACGATTAGTGCTAGAAAGCATTAATCTCATTTACTGCAGAGGGCACAATCTATTAATATTAAAAGCAAATTTACAGGGGTAGCGGGGCTGGCTCTTTAAATTTTAATTGATATCATTAGGCTTTGGTTATACTGAGTGACTGGAACAGATATGGGAGAAATAAGTGGTGTTTGTTCCTTCCAGAAAAAGTGTAAAAAACCAAAACCAAACCAAACAAAAAACCCTACCACCACAAGTGGCACTTGTCACAAGTAGAGGCACCAAAGCCTGAGTAACTAGCAACTGTCCTCTCACTATTTAGACCAGAACCGAGGCACACTGGTGGGGAATCTTATCTTATTTAAGAAGAAGCCACCATTTCAATTGGCTGTAATTGAAATAACTACAATTCACAGCAAGCATTACTGTACTGCAGTAGACCAGTCTTGGGGAATACCGCACCACTGCTGCCTCTACTGGGCTTTATAATTATGAGAATCTTCTGTTTTCATTACAGTAAATCTTACACCTCACAAAACTAAAATTAAAATATTTAATATTTACATAGCATTTCAGATCCTCAATGCATTTTATAGGCATAAGCTAATCCTCACAACATCCCTGTGAGGTAGGTAGGTATCATCACTATTTTAACAATGACAGTTCTAGCGACTTGCCAATGGCCACAGAGGATCCAGTGGAAAAACTGATACAAAATTAGAGGAGCCTGGCTCCTACTCCTGCGCTTATATTCATCAAGCTACTTCCATAAAAAACACCCCTTCTTATGTAATTATTTAACCGAAACTGAAATTACTTCAAGTGTTTTATAAGAGAAATGCTGCAATTTGTATTTTTTGATCATTTTACAGATCACAAATTAGAATTTGCTTTACCTTTTAAAGAATTAGATTTTAAATGGACAACTGACTGCTCTGAGCAAGCTTATTTTCTAGAACTACATGGCTTAGATATAAAGGGATTTACCCAAGTAAACACTGGGGCTTTAGCGAGTGCTACGCACTATCAAAGAGATGACTCTGATTCAAACCCCTCTCTTTCAACTAGTAGGATTTGGACATTCTGAGAAAATGAATTTCTCGTTCCTGAGGAAAATGGTGAGCCCTTTATCACTAAACAGTGAAACACAAACCTCTGGGCAATAAGTAAGCGATTCTGGCAATAACTCAGTGAAGATAATTAAGTCATAAATGCACATGAAAGTGGAAGTTTCATGTAGTAGTAGTCCACTTCTCCCTGTCCATGTGTATCTGTGCTTTCAAGAAGGTCTTGAATTTCATGACCTAACTAGATGGTCATGCTTGCCAGCATGGAAAGTTATAGGTTGAACAACAGAAAATTATTATGCCAGCGTTAGAACTAGCTATTACGATGGGGAAGGAGCTGGCAAAATGGGAAAGAAGCTACTTGCTTTCTAGTCTCAGAATGAAAACACTGGAGCAATAATCTGTTTTAGCAAAAAAAAAAAGTCTAGACAAATATCTTTGTTACAATTATATCATGCAGCATTTATAATTCAGTTTGAGTTGCCTTTTTTTTCCCTTCAAAAAACAGGTGCATTTTTAGAACCATTATTCACTTTGCACAGTGAATGGAAAATCAATGCAGTGATGCTATAAAAATTTCAGAACACTTATGTGGAGCCAACTCTCAATGTTCACTAAAAATGGTCTATGAGTCTTTCCTATGGACTTGAATGAGCTTTTGCATCTAGATTTACAGCAACTGGATGTGTAGAAGATCGCTGAAAGATTTTTGTCTTTTTTCTTTCTTTTTCCTTTTTTTTTTTTTTTTTTCTGGAAGGGATATAGAAGACAAATAGTTTAGGTAGAAGCAGCCACCTAGCCAGCAGGAGTATGAATTAATAAAACTTATTCCTAGAACTTTTTGCAACAATTTCATGGATGTCACTATACAGAGACATCTTAGCATTTGCTCTAAAAGAAACATAAAACGGCAAGGAAAGATCCCTGTTGAATATATGAGAATGGAAGAAAAATTAAGAAACAAGAAAGGAAGAATGTTGTCTAGCATAACATCAAGCAGGAAAATTACAAAAACAACCTTACTAGGACAGTTTCCCTTTAACATATTAATTTTAAATGAAGGGCACAGAAAAGTTTTAAGCAACCTTCAAAACTAGTCTTTGAAAGTAAGTGTTCATACTTTAGCAAGTCTTGATAGTCAAAAGATGCTGTGTGTCTCTGCTTGTTACAACACAATGGGCCTGATTAGAAAAGTAATGGGTATGCACATTACTCTGTCCTGAATACTAGCTCAATTTGTGCTCCCATTCATCAATCACAATATGCAAGAGGATTTCAAAATTTTGAAGTTAATAAATATTTTTAAATAGTGAGCCAGCTTTAGGTTTAAAAAAAAAAAGATAGTGACAGAGCTAGTTATAAAAGAAATGATGACTGCGAATATCAGTTATTCTGTCAGATCCAAAAAACTTGAAGGTATTTGCTATGATCTCTTTGAAGACTTTGGCCTAGATATTTGACATCAAGCACATCATGACAAACTAGCAGCTCCTACTGCCGCATATGTTCCCAGGCTTTAATGCCCTTCATCTGCAAAAAATGAGGTTTCAGAACTGCTGCCCTATCCAATGTACAAACTCCAAGAAACTCCAGAAGCAGTTTCAAAACCATAGCAAAACCCAGCCAAATTTTTCAAAAAATCAGCCATCAGAACAGTTTAAAAACAGAAGGATCTGCCAGGATCATTGTCTTTTGTGCAAGTGCCCAGTCAAGAAATCTTTTAAAGAAAAGCATTAGAGTTTTAAAAGAATTGAGAGCAATACCCCTGTTCTAAAATACTATGCAAATTATCTTAGAAATAAAATACTAGCTGGGAAGGTACATTATCTAACAAGGTTTATGGTCACTTTTTAATGTGTAAATCTGCCCTAGCCCAGTTTTCACATAAATTGAGAAAAGTATATTGAAGAGATGGCATTTTTGGCCTTGTGGATCCATGCTTGAGACAGGTATGGACTTAACTAAAAAATAAAAAAGCCTTAGATCACTTATAGCACAGTATTACATATTTATGTCTTTTAAAAATTCTGGCTATTGTGACTGATTCTGAGATGAATAGCTGAAGAACAGCACAGAGTTGCAAACATGATGCTATACATAGCCATGTAAAGGTGTATACTGTACATTTTATATAAATTTTAAAAACACATGGGAAATATTCAACAGCATAATCTAGCAGAGGTCTTAAACACATGGGCCCACTTCTGCCTCCATGTATTTCCACAAAAATCAGTTTTACTAGACATGCAGCATTTGTGTTTGCTTCAGTTTTCTCTGGCTCATGACTGGAGACAAAGCAGGCCTTGCTTTTGTATTCGTATGCTGCTCTCCCTTGTTGGTCCACTATAGTCAGGGCACTATATTCTGCTATCGTAATAGCTAAAGTGCTGATATAAAAAACTGAGCAAGAGCAGAGCAGCTGGGAGCGCTCTGCAGAAGTGGAGTTAGATTCAGCAAAACTACACATCCCAATTACCTTTCTCAACTCGAGTCAAACAAATATGGCCCTGGAGTAAAAGGGTTTGATGCCCCTGTCTAGCATAATTCTTTCAGGTAATGCCCCAACTTTAAAAAGTTTGCCAGTAATTTACATCTTTTGAGTTGTTATTGCTTAAGCAAACAGTTCAGTGTAGAAATACATCGCAGTTGCGTGCAACCCAGGTATGAACCAAAACAGATACTGAAAGTAAAACTACACATGAACCTTGCATTAGACACTCATTCCAAAATGACACATCAACATGAAGGGCTGCAACAGGTACACAGCAGCTTAATGCCAACATCCTAAACCAACTCTGAAGAGTCAAATCTTGCCTTAAATTTCTTATCTAAAGTATATGAACTTTTTTTTTTTCTTTTAAATTAAGGCAATGAAATGGCTACAGTTCCTAAAGTTCATTTTAGGGGAACAAAAATATACACCTTTTTTCTTCTGAACTTTAGGCAGCAGAACATAATGTAAAGACCTGCACTGCATTAAACATGCAATGTCAGGTTGATGTAGAAAACCAGAACTAAACACAAGTTAAAATACCATTTGGTTTTTCTTCCCCATTGGAACACAAACTCAAACTTTAAGAGAGGAAAAATAAAGCTTAAAATCAGCTAAACTGTTTAGAGCTTTGTATGTATCTGCACCACACTCTAACATGATTTTGGGTAGAAAAGAAATCTGAATGTTTATCTGGCCACTCATATTTTAAACCAGTGGGGGGAAAAGGCACTGAATTTATTTTTCATTGTGCCCATATCTGTTTGCACATATATGGAAAAAATTTAAATTCAGATTTTCTGTTCATTCTCTCGCACAAGTATGACAGATTGCAGCTAACACGTAATAGCAGAAGCTGATTCAAAGTTGACCTCTCCTATTCCATTGTGTTATGTTCAAACTTCCAGGCTCTCTAGAATCTGAGATGGCTGCAAAGAACCCAGAGACAGGTACAAGATTTAGTCAGCATTCAGCGTTTCTCAGTGCATTTTGCAGAAAGGGTCTAAATTAGGCATAGAGTTTTGTGGTTTATTTTACACAGAGAAGTCCACCAACATTTGCCATAAATTCTTCTAAACTCTTTAAGAAGGCCATCTTCTGCTTACGGTCCAGTGTAGGAGGAGTGCTGCTTGCAGTAAGCTTGTTGAAGGCATCTGCTAACCGCTGGTAAATTACTGGATCTTGTTGAGTTGATAGCAATGTTTCAACTAGCTCTGAATATTCAGCCTGTTAAATAAACAAGAATCTTATTAACTTGAAAAAGAAAAGATACAATATATACAACTTCTCTCATCAGGACAAAATCTAGAACCAAGGCTGTGACAGAAAACTATCAGTACCACTCCACCTGTTACCCAGTTTCACTGACTAGGGTGCCAGAAGCAACTATGGACCTGCAGCCTTTCACCTACCTCTAAACCAGATAAAGTCCTTCAATCAGACCAGGTTTTTTAGTAAGGCTAAAGAAGCCTTTAGAGTTAGGTACAGCGCTTTGCAGTGCAGAGTAAGAAGAAAACTTTAAGGAACACCCTTCAAAGTGCTTTCTGGCTCTTACTTAGCATAGGCTTACTCCTGCAAACCGCACTTGTCTTTCTTCATGCCTGTTCCACGTTTGGCGTGCCGTACCAACCATCTCCTCCCACAGGTTTTCCCTTCTCTAGATTCCCTTCCCTGGGACAGGGAGCTTAGATTCCTTTCTAAGAGTCTCCCACTTATTCTCACGCTTACTTGGACAGAAACAGAAGACAAAGAAATATGTTAAACATGACTAAAAGGACAGCGAAAGAACCAGTGAGAGTTTTGAGAAAAGCAGCAAACTGACTGTAACAGGCGCCTGGCTCAGCTGCTGTGGCAACCTGGCTACCTGGTACGCAGCATCACAGCTCCTGGAGGGGACTTAGCAGAGACTATGGAAGCTTGTGCGGCAGCGGATGAGACAGGGGCCAGGATCTGGGCTGTTACTATGGACAGACTGCTGAGGATCATCCTCGGCCCTCAGTCTATCACTGCTTGTTCAGCCACACGGCCACCAATGACACTCCCAAGGGGCACCTAGAGCAAGTCCAGAGTGACTGCTGAACTCTGGGAGCAAGAGTGAAGGACATGGGAGCCAATTCTACTGGTGAAGGGCTTGGGTGGGGGTAGACACAACATGAAGTTACCACCTGTGGCTGGTGTCACAGGGTCTTTTTGTCTTACATGATCATGAGTCCCTCTCTGAGGAATGAGGGCTGATAACAAGGGAGAGGAGCCATATGACGAAGTGGCTTAGGAACATCTTTGCCAAAGGCTTGCCAGCCAGGCAGGAATGGCTTTAAAGAGCACATTGGGGAATGGTGGTAACAGCTTGTAGGTAAGTGAGGAGACAGACACCAAGAGTAGTAAGAATGCAAGGAAGGGTGATGGGTTTAAGAGTGCTCATCAGGACGGATGAAACAGGTTGAACGGAGGCCAACCTCAAATGCCTGTGGAGAAATGCATTCAGCTTTGGAAACAAACAGGAAGAGCTAGAGCTCCCTGTGCAGATGCAGAGTTGCGACATCACTGCAGGCACTACGATGTGGTGGGACAGGTGGCATGACTGGAGTGCTCCGATGGACAGCTCTTTAGGGAAGCTATTTAGGGAAGGAGAAGACAGAATATTGCCATTTATGTGAAAGGGTGCTTTTCTATGGACTGGGCAATAATCTAGTTGAGTGCTTATGGGTCACGATCAGAGGAGAGGTGGTAAAGATGACATCATGGTGGGATCTTGTTACAAATCACCAAAACAGGGCAAGTAGTGGACCAAGTCATCTTCAAGCAACTTGAGGAAGTTCCCAGATCAGGCTTACAAGAGATTATCTCCCTGACATTTGCTCAAATGCCAGATGGGCCACCCAGGGGTGACTCTGCATCTGCTACTCACAGCTAGGAAGAACTGGTCAGGGATGTGGTAATTAATAGCAGCCTTGGCTACAGTGATCATGAAATAATGGAGTACAGGATCCTTAAGAGAGTGAGGAAAGAAAGCAGCCAAGTACAGACCCTGGACATCACGAGAGCAGATTTCAGCTTATTCAGGAGGCTGGTGGGTGGAATCCTGTGGGAGAAAGCTCTGAAGACGAAAGGAGCTCAGGAGAGCTGACAGGTCTTTAAGGACAACCTCTTCCAAGCACAAGAATGGCCTGTCCAGATACTGAGGAAAACAACATAAACACATCAGGACTCCGACCTAGCTAAACAGGGAGTTCATGACTGAACTCCAGTGCAAGGAGGACACATGCAGGAGGTAGAAGCAGGGAGGAAGGAGGAAAACAGAAACATTGTCTGGACAAGAACAATGACAGAAAAGTGAAGTTCAGCTAAAGCTGAATTTGGAAAGGGACATCAGGGACAACAAGAGCAGCTTCTACCAGTACATTAACAGTAAAAGAAGGAACAGGGAAAGTGTGGGTCCTGCTGCTGAATGGAGCAGGTGATTTAGTGATAACAGACAAAAGATAAGGCTGAAATACTCAATGCTTTCTTTGCCTTAGTCTTCACTGACAGGTTTTCCCAGACCTTTATGACCAGAGACAGGGTTCAAGGAGGAGAGTAACTACCAGGAGTAAAGAGGATCAACCCAAGTATCTCTTGAGAAATCTTGATGCATACAAGCTCAAGAGACCTGACAGAATCCATCCAAGAGTTCAGAAAGCTGGCTCATGTCATTACAAGGCTGCTCGCTATCATCTTTGAATGACTAAGAAAATAATGAAGCAAGTACTCCTGGAAGCTATCTCTGGGCATGTGAAAGAGAAAGGGATTGAGAACAGCCAGCATAGATTTACCAAGGGTAAATAACGCTTTACCAACCTGACTGTCTGGCAGGTGCTGAAAGCACATGAATTATAAGGATAATAAAGCATTCAACAGGCCGCTCAGAGAGGCTTTGGAATATCCATCTTGGAGGTTGGACACAGTTGGAAAAAGTCCTGAGCGACCTAATCTGAATTCAGTGTTGACCCCACTTTGGGCAAGAGGTTGGACTACAGACCTCCTGAGGGTCCCTTCCAACCTGAACAACTCTGTGATTTGCCACACGCATGGTAACTAACCACGCTCCTTTAACAAATGACTGGTTTTCACGATGTGTCTAAATGCCGTACCTGATGCAAACACACTAATGTGTAGAATGCTTCACCTGCTGCAGTTGTCATTTCTGTATTGTGCTTCTGAAGTACCAGCATATCAAAGACCATCTGAAATCACAAAACAGAAGTAGTTACGGAAGTGTAAAACTTAACTTTCTACTTTACCAACGTTTGAAACATCTTCACTTCTGATAATAATAATGAACATGTATTTACAAACATCCAAGTTTGTTGTTTGTTTTGTTGCCTTTTTTTTTTCTTTTTTAAATTCAGGTATCAGTAATTGGAAAGCCAAGTTCTTTTAGAAGTCGAGCCTTGGCTTAACAGTACAAATTCACATCTCAAAGCACTGAAACCTGTTGTTGATTTGTATGTGTTCTTCAGAAAGAAATGACATCTCTTCTATTTTTCTCCAAAAGAAAATGGCAGAGAAATAATGAAAAAAGCCTTTGCTCTTCCAGAATAAAACAGGGAACTTTTTCCTCAAGTCTTGGAGACTCCTACAGCTCACAGAAAGCCAAACAGGGAAGAGTTTAATAAGAACGGTATTATAATTTTAAGTAGAAATTTAGAAAAGGCAGAAAGCTATGTTAACTTAAAAGAAATATAAAGACAAAATTATTTAAGGTGTTTCTCATTCTCTCAGCTTGCCTGATGTATGCTTTTAATGAGCAGAAGTTCAAATGTCAGTTTGGTAAGAAAAGATGTCTTAAGGAAAACTGAAGTCTTTACAAAATCAGAAGACAAGCACACAAGTTCCCCAATTACTTTGTTCCCAGTTAGCAGGAACCTAGCTGCTACCAGGTCACTCCAAAATTCAATGAGATAGAGTGGATGGTCCTAAAAGGAAAGTACTAAATATGATACTAGATTAAGAAAACACATAATTTATTGGATACATTGAATAAATTACAGGATTTTCTTTCTAGTTCCCAACTATGCTCTTTTTTCTGCCTCTTGTTTTAGTACTCTACCCAGCCTCCAGTTCACACAATTCTGGAAGCTTTCTATTTCACAGCTTTCGCAGTAACCCTAACTGCTAAAATTGTCAATCAGGTTCATTCTAGAGCTTGTGTTCAGAGCATGGATAAATTGCATTCTGAGAGGCTCAGGTCTTTTGTTGATTGGTAATAAGTGATCTCCTGCGTCTACGCCTCCATCCTCCCTTGTACTCTAGTCCAATGTTTCCAGTCCTCCATGCTCTTTCTTCTTAAACTGCCAGAGTTTTAGGTAACAGGCTGTTTTCTTACTATATGTGTGATCCTGGTTAACCCGGTCAGATATCATCACTGTTTGGCCTCTTGATGCTACCTGTATGCAAACAATCAAAGTAACACGAAACACACATGCCTTACCTTAAGAAAGTGCCTTGTTGCTAGAAAAAGGGTTGAATCTGTTTCTTGTGCTTTTGCACACTGTTCTGCTAACGGTGTTATAGCCTCCAGACAGAGCTGGCAAACCTCTGAACTCATTCTGATAATGGGCGTTAAAGAATCAAAGTCAGATTTCAATTAAGTTGTAGTGAAACTTCCCAGTGGTGTCACTAGAAAATATTTTAAATGCTTGTATGTTCCAAGATTTCTTCTTACTATAAAGCTGTTAAAAAAAAAATTAAATTAAAAAAAAAAAAAAAAAACAAAAACAGAAAAAGGGGAAAAAAAGAATTCCAACTCTGATGCCTTCTTTTATTAGCTACATGCCCTAAGGTAACATAAGCCTCTCTGACATAACATTTTCAGAAAGAGTCCCTTATGGTCAAGCTCATCTGTTTCTGACACGTGCCACAGATTAGTGAAAATGGTACTCCCATTATAAGAGGGAGAGCCCATTGGCACCCTGACAGGAAATGCTCTGGAGCCAGCCCAGTAGAACAGCAGCAGTGTTTTGTATTACCAGCTGAGAAACTAATTCAGGAATGGCTTTGGGATACCAGCTGAAGGCTTATGAAGTTACACACTCTGAAGTGAAGTAATAGAGGAGGCAGGAATGGCTGCCAGAAAAAACTTACATGCTAAACCACTTAAAGGCTGCATTCAAGCAACACGATCAGAGGAAATTCAGCTAATACTAGAATCTCAATAGACACTACAGTGAAACTCTCAATCACCAGAGAGCAGAGTCGATTACCGATATATAATTATAGATACAGAAATTGATAGAAAAGGGAAAAAATGCAAAGAAAAATAAAACCAAATTTTAACAGGTCCTTATAAAAGCAACTCAGATTTTTAAACACTCCCAGGCTCTATAAAGGATACGATGACATCCCTAATTCCAGTGAGTACATTAGGCTCTTAAAGAGGTCTTCCGGAAGTTGTGGAATTTTCTCAGGGAATATCTCACAGATGAAAGTGATTAATTTGTAATATTGATTACACAGGGATGGAAACTGTCAAAAGAAAAACATGGTAATTTTAGAATCAATCACATAACGCTATTCTGACATGATTTCCATCTGTACATCATGAAGAAGAAAAGACAATTTTAGTAGATAACTTCAAAGTCATTAGAACGGCTACAACTTTATTAGCAAACACTGTGGTACAATAAAAAAGATTGCTGAAGTTCAACAGTTGATGGTGGGAGTCTGGTATCTGCTCTGTACAAATTCAAGGAGTTTTACTTCAGACATGAGCAAGTCTAGTCCTGTGGGGTAAAAGCCTTGGACACAATAGAGGGGGTCCTAGGGTACGGTACATCCTTTGAGTCAGTTTTATCTAAAATGGATGTAGCTCTCATGCTCAGCGAGGGCTACCAGAGGAGAAAGCATGTTAAGAGGGGACAACTGATATACACTTCAGAAGTGTACCCCTGATTCAAAGTAGAACATTAACACAGTGCAACCCAATGAAATGCTGCCATTCCATTGTTTCATATTTTACTGTTCTACTGACAAGCTGCTGCTGTCTATGATACGAAAGCCAGCTGTATTGTGAAAATAATTAGAGTTACTACTTGCTCCCAGATTTTTTTTCTTTTTAAACTAATATCACTGTTTATGGTTCCTATCACATTTCTGACACTATCAGAAAAAGGATTCCACAAGCCACATTTCAGGTTTTGCTAACTGTTGACCTGCACGGACGTAGTTTTAGAAGAAATAAGTTTGTTTATGCCCTTCAAATATACATTTTCTCAGCTTACAATATTTCTTTTCAAACAGTATCTAGAACTATGGAACAGTTACTTGCATTTTTAAAAGCCTAGAAAACTCAGCTTATGAGGGTGGAATGCATATAGGAATGAATTCTGGAAATACATTACTATAAAGCTTTCATATTATAGCAACTATGTGTAAAAATATACTTACCTTCAGCAGATCCTGGGACATTAGAGGCAGAACTAGATTAACCCCATATAAGACAACATCTGCTGCTGATACAGATCTATTTGTAGCTTGCCCAGGCTCATGTCCTCTAAATACTTCATCTGTAGAAAAGACAATAAAATGTTTTGTATAAAAGGAGGATTAAACATATTGAAGGAAGAGTCCCATTTCTTCATAATAAAGACATTTTTAAAAATAGGACCATTCTCTTCTCCCCAAAAAACATGAGGCACTGTATTAAAATAGAAACTTAGTGAGTGGAGGCTGCCACATCACTCTACACTTATATTCATTAGGATTAAGCATTTCATAATCACGTGTACCAGATGGCATGCTAAAACAGAACACTTCAGATACTCTGAGGGCTCCCTTCCATTACAGAACATTCCATTTGTTTCTAGTGATAGCTGCTTCATGCCTGCACACATAAACAGATAGTGAGCAAAATATTACTGCATTTTTATACTTATAATATATATTATATATTTACATATG